CTCCATAAGAATCGAAAATCTTGCTAATGCAGAATCTCAATTATTTTAGTAATTGACCACACATTTTTTTACGAAAAATGAACTAATTAAGTGGTTAAAAGAAATCTGTCAGAGACTCAGAGCACAAATCAAAGAGTCCCGGCCATTAGTAAGTAACAAAATCAGTAACCACCACATGCACTTGAACAGCTCCATGTCGTTTGGTGTGTTGCATGAGATTAATTATTAATTTATTAATTAATTAATCAATAATCTTAGACAGAATTTTACTTGTCATAATCTCGTGACTATTGACACATAATTTACTCAATTTTCTTGTAATCACACCATCAATTAGTTAACAGTCTCCTTAATCATCTTTGGGAAATTAACTATTTTTAATGATAAGTCTTCACATTTTTACCTTGATGACTAGGCGAACTACTAGTGTGTGGCCCGTGCGATGCACGGAAAAATAATATTATAAATTAAATATATAAATAACATTAATCATAATTTATTCATTGTTTTTAAATTAAACTGGGTTGGACACAGTCCGACCGAATGGACCGAGAACCGGTTTATAACTAATCTAATTTGCTTGAATAAAATATTTGCTCTCGAATCCGTCAACACCAGTCGGTTGGATTGATAGGATCGATACGATTTTTTAAATAAATTTTGTTATATTTAAAATTATTTTAAATAAAATTACATATTTAAATAAAATAGATATTTATAAATTGTTTATCAATTAGTTTAAACATTTAAATTAATTTAAATTTATAAATTTATAATCTTGTGTTTATTACAACTCTCAATAAAATTAATTTTAAATTTTTAATTTATCATAAAAGTTTATCTTATGGTTTTAAGTTTATATTGTGTTTATTATCTATTTTTTGTTAAATAAAAAAAAATCGAATGAAAAAAAAATTGAAGATAAACTAAAAATAAAATTAAAAAAACCCATAATCAAATCATCATAAACATCAAATTAACTATCAAAATCCTTCAAAAACATAAAACATATACTTGAACTCACCAGGAATTGGGATCGCATGGGCAAAAAATTCTTAACTCTCTCTCAAATACCAAAAAAAAAATAGAGCAGAAATTAAAAACAAATCAAAGCAACTCATAGATCTATAGATCTATCAATGAAACTTCCGAAAAAAAAAAAAAAAAAATCAAATCAAATTTTGCTAAAATCCTAAATTAGCAAACCACAACTTTTATCTCAAGGCGGTTATATTTTTAGCCTCAAGGCGGCCGGCGGCACCGACAACGAGAGGAAGAAGCCGGACATGGAGTAGATCTCGGATCGAAGGTGATGTTGGCGACGGTTCGAAAAGCGCTAAAACCTCCCACCGGTGGTGCGTGGCGAAGATGGAGAAGCTCTTGTGACGCCGGCTCCGTTAACCACCTTCGTCGGACCTTGTGGCGTGCGCTATTGCAGGCGTGTTTAGTTGTTCTTCGTTCTTCGAAGAGACAAATTGGGTTTGGGGGAATAAGAAGTAATCTATACTTATATAATAAGGGGTACCATTTACGAAACTTAGTAAGTTGAAAAGTCAATGCAATAAATGTCTTACTATTTTGAGCAATATAATATAATATTATATTTATACTTATATAAAAGGAGATTCTATTTACTACATTTACTATCCATAATAGTCAACTGCATTATAATGTTTTATTTATTTAATTAATTAATTTATTTATTTTATTTTAAAAAGGTAAGTATAATAAAAAGATTTTAATAATAAAAAAATCAAATACCAAATAAAAATGTACACTTTGACTTATTTGATTATATTTGGTATTTGATTATACCAAATATATTCCTATTTAGTATATACATTAAATACTTACTAAAGTATTTATTTGTTTTATTTGTCAAAGTTAAGTATAGATTTGTTTATATTATCAAATCATAAAAAAAATATTAAATCCATATTGTAAAAAAAAAAATCATATAATTTTATAACAATTCTACTACACTATTTAACAATATTCCTTTTTTATTATATAATAAAATAATAATTAAATATTATATGGTGAACAACAATAAGTAAAACTGTTACTTTCTCTTATATGAAGGGATAAATTTATATGTTAAAGTTAAATTTTTATTAGTATAAATGTTTAGTGAGATAATATATTAATTATTTTACAAGCTAGCCCTAACATGCTCATATTTAATGTTTTACAAGATGTAGAAAAAAACTTATAATAACTCTATTGTTTTTTAGACTTAAACGTTGATTAAAAGAGGTAAAAATTCCTAATTTTTTAGACTTAAACGTTGATTAACACCATAGATTGAGAGTCTATATTTAGTAAAATTCCTAATTGTAATAAAAAAAATTAATTTTTGTTATATTTTAGAATATCTTTAAATTCATTATAAAAAAAAAACGAAAAAAAACTACAATGAAAAAAGCAAGTCAGCTATATATCGATTTGTTGTACTCCTCAAATCACATTCACAATTTGGCTACAAGGAAAGGAAACTCATTGATTAAAATATTATTTTGTCAGTAGTCTTAATGTACAAGAGACTTTAGGACTCCACTTGAATATTATAAAACTTTTATTGAACATTGTACAATTTTCTTGCGTATTATAAACTTTTATTGAATATTGCATCTTATAATATAATATTCTCCAAATAAATATATCCCGTGCTTCGTACGGGTCACGTACTATATATATCCCGTATATTTTTCTTTATTCATGTATATAATTATAAACCTGGATAAATAGCCTTAAAATTGTGTGCTCAGTGCATCGCACGGGCTCTGTACTAGTTCTAATATTTAAAAGAAATAGATGAAGATGGGATTGAGATAAGTATGGAGAGAGAAAATTAGATTTGGTATTAATAACATTAATCTCGTTAATGAGAAAAAAAAAAAACTTAAAGGGGTCATCCGCTAGGTAATTTTCTCTCAACAATGACCAGTGGTCCAATTGTTAAAATTAGTGGGCCAATCATAGTTTTGCTAACTGAAGCCCAATCGAGTCATTTTAGAAGTATGCATATCACTCTTCTTTCAAATGCAAAAAACTGTAACCAAAACTTACTCAGGAAAAGAAGAGTTTATGCCAAACGAAGAATAACGTTCCTACTGTTAAGAATAATCTAAAAATACTATACAGAACACACACACAATAGAATAAAAATTGTTGAAAAATAGAACAAAAAATTTGATTATTTTGCTCTTGACAAAATAGTTTCTTTCCTGCAGATTGACACTTTTTTTTAATCGATATCATTTTGTCTAATTTTTCATATTTAATAGCATATATTTTCACTTATATATTTTTGTATGAGAAGGTAGCATGACAATTCGACTTGTTATATTTTTTCAAAAGAAAATATTTACACTATAAAATAATTTTGTTTTATTTTTTTACTTTTTTAGATTATAGCATTTTAATTTAAAAAGTATGTACAACAATAAAAATATGAGTTAAATTATTGACTTAGATAATTAATTATTTAGCGTAAAATAAGTATATTTCCAATAGATGCACGGGGTGCACGCTAAAGAGAAAATTACTTGGAGGAGCTTATCTCTACCATATCATTTCTTGCGGTAGCTTACAATGCGTACTAAAGTTGCTTTTCAACCCTCGAAAACCAAGTCTCTTATCCTTTTCGTCCCCTTTCCACAAACGCTTTGAGCAATAGAATAATAACTCGCATCAATCACCTCAGAAAATGGGACGTTCCATAATCGTCTCATCGTCATCCTCTCACATTCCCTCGCTATTTTCTCCAAAACCCACCTCGATTAGCTCAGCTGGGCTTAGAATCTTCAAATTTCCGGCGACTTTGAGTGCAAATTCGAGGTCTCCTAAACATGGTTTCTGTACAATGTCTCCCAGTTTTAGAATGTCATCGTTTTCTTCAAAGGCTGTTGCATCGGAGATTTCCAATCAAAAACAGTATTCCAAGGTCGGGGCAAAGTCAACGGGTCCAATTCCTTCCGATCAGCTCCTTGGTGTAATTCAAACTGCCGCCAAGACTGGTGCTCAGGTTTATCTTTCAATTTCTGCTGCTGTTATTCGGTTTTTGTTTTTTAGTAATTTCACTGGGTTTTAGTTATTAGTGAGTTTAGAAGGTGTTTGGGCGGACAAAGGAAAGAACGGTGTTGTCATGTTGCTAAGCTCATATGGTTTAAGTTCATAAAGTTTGCTTTTTTATCTATCCTTGTGCTGTTTTTAGAATAACTGGGGAAAAAAATCAAGACCGGCTGTTTGATTTTCCACCTCGTACAAGTTTGTGAGTGGCTTAAATTGCCTATGATTGCTTTGGCTTTTATGTAGTTTTTTCTGCCTTGCAATGTCTGCTCTATCGAAAGCTAGCTTCGACCATTGTCAGCGAGTAGTCGAGTCATATTCTTTTGTTTATCCATTTACTTTCTTAGTGTTTGCCCCCTTTATGTTCTTTTCAAGAACATAATCTTTTGGCATTGTTATTCGACATGTCCTGAGAGTAAATGCTACAAGTTTACTATTTGTCTCAGGTCATAATGGAGGCAGTGAATAAGCCTCGCAACATTACCTACAAAATAGGACTCTCTGATTTGGTGACTGAGTAAGACCCATCTTGTTTGCTATTTGATTTCGCATTCAATCGGCATCTGATATGTTCAAAAACTTGCAATGAAGGCTGTTGTGTAATGCAATTTCCTTTTGTGATTTTAACAAATATGGGTGCAAAATTTAGAAAACCAATTGAGGACAGGGGCAATCATTTTTTTTAGTGGTCATTATCATTTTTTTTTTCTTAAACTCTAACTTTTAGTATTTATCTGATCTTTGTTACCATGCAATTCGTTCATTGTTTTGCATTGATGCATGAATTAAACAATTATAATGCAGAACAGATAAAATGAGTGAGGCTGCTATTCTAGATGTTGTCAGAAAGAATTTCCCGGACCACCTAATTCTTGGGGAAGAAGGTGGGCTCATTGGAGATACTTCTTCAGATTATCTTTGGTGCATTGATCCCTTAGGTAAAACCGTAAAAGTGCCTCTCGACCTTTTACTTTACTATTTTTTATATTCCTTTTGTTGTTGGGGTTCCGAAATTTCTGTGTTCGACACGTAAAAGTGCACAAATTGTTGTTTCTTTGATTTGTTTTCTTATGTTGATGAAGATGGCACCACAAATTTCGCTCATTGCTATCCGAGCTTTGCCGTTTCCATTGGAGTCCTTTACAAAGGAAAACCAGCTGTGGCCTCTGTGGTATCTATCTAAGCTCATTATTAGTATAATTTACAAATGGTTTCCTTTATCTCATGAGCTGGGAATTGAAAATTTTGCCTTTATTTGCAGGTGGAGTTTGTGGGTGGACCTAAATGTTGGAATACTCGGACTTTTACTGCAGCTGCTGGTAGAACATAGAAGACTCTTTAAATTATTATTTTTTTTTTTCCGAATTTTATTGCAGCTTTTAAGATTAACTCACTACTTTCTGGATTCCAGGTAATGGTGCGTTCTGCAATGGAGACAAAATTCATGCGAGTCAAACTGATAAGGTGATTAATCAGCTTAATCTGTGTTCATCTTTTCACCAAACCTTTTTTTTTTTTGGTTGGTTCTTTCTTTTTATCTAGTTGTTTAAACCAATTTTTTTTATTAAAAATAGGTCGAACAGTCGCTTTTAGTTACTGGGTTTGGTTATGAGCATGATGATGCGTGGGCAACCAATATCGAGCTGTTCAAGGAATTCACTGATATCAGTCGGGTCAGGCCTTTTTTATTTTTCTTTAAACTGTGATAATTTTTTATTTTTTTTATTTTTTTTTCCTCACGTTTGGATTGCAGGGTGTAAGGAGACTCGGTTCTGCATCAGTCGATATGTGTCATGTGGCCTTAGGAATTGTAGAAGGCTATTGGGAGTATCGGCTCAAGCCTTGGGATATGGCTGCTGGTGTTTTGGTAATTCTTTCTCATCTCGATTTTATATAAATTCTTTTACATGTTTATTCGACCATCCATTTTTTCTTACTTCTTTTGGGGATTTTGAGTGTGTATGTGCAGAAGCTTACATATATTGTCTTAATTGTGTTTCTTTTTCTTGTTCAGTCGCAGTAAGTTTCACTGCATTTTAATTGTTGATTTTTTTTTATGTTTTTTTTTTTT